CTGTGAATGCATACATTTGCAGGGGAAGGAGAGTACATTTGGCATCAGAGTTATATGCGGTACAGGTGGTAAGTATGTACGAGACTGTCTGTGAATGCATACATTTGCAGGGGAAGGAGAGTACATTTGGCATCAGAGTTATATGCGGTACAGAGGGGAAGTATGTACGAGAGAACGATCAGGTATTATGACAGAACAAGTAGCACAACGCGTGGGCTACCCTTAGTGCTGGCGGATTTGCAGCAGTCGTATGCTCTTTGTAAAGGAGACAACACCTCAATACTACCTTTTTCACCGGAAGTCAATGTATGGTTATTAGTACTTGTTATTTATGTATTTATTAGACTGAAAGATATCCCAAATACAGCTATAATGACCGTACGGCGTACGTTGTATTCAGGTGGAGTATGTGGTCATTATTGCTGTATTTAGACGGAAAGATACCCCAAATACCGCAATAATGAACGTACGTTGTATTCGGGTGGAGTATCAAGAGCAAGGCGTGGACATAACAGGTGGGAGGTAATGTGTATTTAATGGGGAGACACTAAAATGGCTTGCCACGCACTCTCGGATGTGGAAACAAATACGAGTGCTCCTGAAACACGGTCCTTGAGCTCCCCGGCTTTGACTGTCCTTGTCATGCCGCTAGACTCTGAGGAGTCCGGCACTGGAATTCCAGTGCAGCAGGAAAGGACTGAAAGGAAGAGCGTGAAGAGAATGGTGGCGACCATTGGGCTTGCTCTCCAACGCGGAGGGGGCTCGGAGAGATTCAGGAGCTCTCTCAAAACACGGGATGTTGCAGGCTGGGGCTCAGCTTGTGTTTGACAGTGCTCTGGAAACCACCATTTCTGAGGGCTGTCGAACTTCGCTTCCTGTCAGGATTTAGAGAGCAAGCGAACTGTCCTTTGGGAAATTTGGCAAAATTGGAACGATACAGATGAGATTAGCATGGCCCCTGTGCAAGGATGCTGACGCACGGGGTGCCGGTGGTTTAAACCACCAGTATCTCAGTGTTCTTAAGCCGTCATTGCGGTGGCTGAATTGGTGTGCGGGGTTCATCTGCGTTTGCGTCAGAGGTGGGCCTAGAGGGGGTGTAAGCCCTCCCCTGGGGTTTAATAATGCATTCACGAAATTGGCAAAGACTTGTGTGCACTCATGTGAGTACAGATGAGAAAGAGCAGACAGGAACAGGAGGTTGGAAAAAGATCTAGAGGACAGAGCAGTCGCGTGAGCATAGTAAATGAGAAAAAGAGCAGATGGTAACGGGCAGGAGTTTGAGAAAAAATCAGATGGTCTTACCAAAAAAAAAAACAAAAAAAAACAAAGAAACAGCGGTTTGGGAAAAGACTGCCCGGCGACAGAACAGTTAGCGGTTAGAAGAGCAGCAGACAATTCAGGTAGGCTTGGGGGAGGAGAGGGCAGGTTGGTGGGCATCAAGATGGCACACGAAGTTGAAAGTGACTTACAGTTAACTGACCTACAGTCTGATACAAGTGAAAATGATGTGCGATATCAGAATCAGACTCTTGCTAACTGCAGGATGCCGAACTGTGCAGTGCTGCATAGGGTTGCCAATTGGTGGTGAGTCGTAGAAGCGCAGCGCATTGCTGACGAAATGACGAAATGTGCGAAATGGAACATGTATTATTTGCTGGGTGGTCGAAAGATGCGTCAGCCATAGCTTTTGTCGTTTTGCAATTATGAGCGGAGTGGTGAGCCATACAATCGATCTTCAGATTCTTCACCCAAGGATGCTGAACTTCTGAGACTGTGAGTTGCCATGGGCGCGTACCAATGAGCCTGCCTAGCGCAGTTGTGCACACCCGTAAACTGTTGAAATACAGACCCAAGTTCGAATCCTGCTGGACCTCGAAGAAAACGACGAAATAGTTCCGGAATCTGAATCACCCGGGGTGGGTCAATGCGCCGATGTCATCTTTAAACCCTAGACCAGAACTGTTCCCTGGTTGAAAAACGAATATTCGGCTTGTTGTTTATGGCTGCATTTTTTGGGAGGTCGCGTGGCAGACCGAAATGGTTGGCAGCGACAGCCACAAGCAGGGCCATGTCTATTCATTTTTTCTTTGGCGTGGAGGGTGAATTTGGGCTTCTGCATCAATAGTTGGCCGGGGTACTCGGTGTTGTCAGGCGGGAATCCCCAGGGGGTGAGCTGGGATTGTATAATGCGCAGACCCCCATGCGAGGACTCCTGATCCGTAGACCACCGGGGGTGCAAATTTCTGCGTTTTTTTTTTTCCCTACTTCCCTGCATTCCCTGCGAGGACTATTGCAGGGAACTGCCTTTTTTGTTTTTTTTCCAAATTGGGACTCCACAGGACTGGAAACAATTCCCGACCGACCGCCCCCACGGACCCCCGGTGAGGGAAAATTTGTCTTGTCACTCTTGTGGCTTTTTAAGATCATTGCCCCGGCGAGTTGTAACCTGTCTTTACCCCAGAATTCCGAATTTGCGTGTAGGCATAGTAGCCAATTGGTGAGTTATGATCTGTCTTCATCGCACTGGGTGCTTGTGGGCAGTGCTATACCCCAATGAAGGCGAAGCCATCATCAATTTCACTGTGAGTCTTGCCTGTGCTTGCCAGGCCCTTCCCAAACATCAGGTGTGGATGATAGGAGTGCCCTACATTTCGTCATGAGGCGGGGTTTTGGAGTCGAGATGTGGATCCGACAGTGGATGGTTTTCCCTTACAGTTGTCCCTGGCCGCTCTTAGGCTGACACCGGACTGCCTTGCGGTCCTTTATATGGGCATTGTTGCGGGAGCGGTTGGTGACGGCGGTTACACTTGAAGTGTGCCCCTGCCATCTGGGTGCACACTTGCCTATAGACACAGTCAGTGACTCAAGCTGCCTTTTGCTAAAGTGCTCACACATGCGCAGGCAGCCTGCCCAGCCATTCACACTGCCGGCCTGTCACCCACTCGCCGTGTTAAACGCCCAGTCACCCATCCAGCATTTTAAACCACCAGTACTTGGCCCAGCTATCGGCCGTTGCGCTTTCCCATTAACGCGCCGCGCCTGAGGGCTTCGGGGTACCCGACCTCGATGGCTGGAAGC